TTCCACAAGCCAGGTACTCAGTTCACCAAACTTGGAAGGATGGAAGGCTGAGTCATCTCTGAGTTGGCTGCCTGAGACCAGGATTGAACTCACATCGTGAACAGAGTCTTCATTGCAGTACTGCAGTTTAACCACTGCTCCTGTAGGAATTTTGTTTTCCTGCTTCATTTCTGTCCCCAGGCTAAATTTTCTAGCAACATTTGATTCATCTTATTCCCTGCTTCCGCATTCCAGTCACCTTTGTTTATAAGCATGCCTTGTTTTAGTATGTGATCAATTCCCTCTGGGATGCTTACATAAAAGATTTCAATTTCATCTTTAGCAACATTGGTAGCTGAAGCATAGACCTGTATTATGGTTATGTTAATAGGTTTTCCATGAATTCTGATTATATTATTCAGTCAGATCCTGCATTTTAGCCTCTAATTGACCATGTTACAACTTGCCTCAAGAGCCACTCCACTACTTCTGAGTTTTGTTATTTCTAAACTAGAACACATTTCAGTTATCTGACTGAAAATACCCCTTTCCAGTCAACTTTAGTTCACTGACATCAAGTACTACAATGTTTAAATGTCCCATTTCTTGCTTTACGATTTCCAGTTTACCTTGATTCATATTTCTCACGTTCCATGTTCCAGTTGTGTTGTACAGCATCAGACTTTACGTTTACTTCTCTGCATGTCAGCCACTAGATGTCCTTTCAGCTTTAATTTAGTTGTGTCATTACTGATAAGAGTTATTTGTACTTGTGCTTTTCCCTAGTAGTTGATTGAGTGCTTTCCACCTGCAAATCTTGTCTTCTAGCACTATCTCTTGTTTAATTTGGGGCCGTCTCATCATGGGGGTTTTGTAGTAAGGAAAGTTCAGCAGGGGCTTAACATTGCCACCTATGCTGCAATACTAACAAAAGTTAGCTTTAGTGTCATTGCTGTTGCCTTCTCAGCCAGTGTCTACCACTGCTGCCCAGTAACTGCTGTGGAGAGTGGATCCATCTTAGTCTGTGGCAGAGATCCTGTGTCTTTTGGCAAGGGTTCCTTTGCCCTTTGCCTTCTCTCTCTCTGGAGCTGTCTGTCTCCTTTATAGGGAACTAGATTTAGGTTATATACATTTAGTTGGGAGTAACTATAATTGAATTTATTGGGAAACTTCTTAATAGTTGTATGTAGCATTGCAAAAGTAGAAATTTCAGGTTGACTAATACATGATTTTAATTCTTTTTGTTTCTTTTTTCAGTTAAATAATGTGATTTGTGAAACAGGGGACTGTAGGGAGCAAGAGTTCAGAGATCATGATGGAAATTGCATGCTGTGTGAACAATGTGGACCTGGAATGGAACTCTCTAAGGTATGTATGTTACATATAAATGTAAATCATTTTCTAGATGTTCTTTGCTTTTGTGGGGCACTATTAACTTGAATATTTTTCTGCAATTGTATGTATGTATATTGCAAGGTTATGCTCAGAATCCTACAAGGTAGGCTACAGCAGTATGTGGACCAAGAACGCCCAGAAGTACAAGCTGAAATTTGAGGGGCAGAGGAACTAGAGACCAAATTGCTATCATGCGCTGGATTATATAGAAAGCCAGAGAGTTCCAGAAAAACTTCTGCTTCATTGACTATGCAAAAGCCTTTGACTGTGTCGACCACAACAAACTATGGCAAGTTCTTAAAGAAATGGGAGTGCCTGACCACCTTATCTATCTCCTGAGAAATCTATATGTGGGACAGGAAGCAAGAGTTAGAACTGGATATGGAACAACTGACTGGTTCAAAATTGGGAAAGGAGTACGACAAGGCTGAATATTGTCCCCCTGCTTATTTAACTTATATGCAGAATACATCATGAGAAAGGCAGGACTGGAGGAATCCCAAACCAGAAATAAGATTGCCAGAAGAAATATCAACAACCTCAGAGATGCAGATGATACCACTCTGATGGCAGAAAGTGAGGGGGAATTAAAGAACCTCTTAATGAGGGTGAAAGAGGAGAGCTGCAAAAATGGTCTGAAGCCCAACATAAAAAAAACTAAGATCATGACCACTGGTCCCATCACCTCCTGGCAATTAGAAGGGGACGATATGGAGGCAGGGACAGATTTTCTTTTCTTGGGCTCGATGATCACTGCAGATGGTGACAGCAGCCAAGAAGTTAAAAGACACCTGTTTCTAGGGAGGAAAGCGATGACAAACCTAGACATCATCTTATAAAGCAGAGACATCACCTTGCCAACAAAAGTCTGCATAGCCAAAGCAATGGTTTTTCCAGTAGCAATGTATGGATGTGAGAATTGGACCATAAAGAAGGCTGACTGCCGAAGAATTGATGCTTTTGAATTGTGGTGCTGGAGTAGACTCCTGGGATTCCCCTGGACTGCAAAGATAATTTGTCCATTCCAAAGGAAATCAACCCTGAGTGCTCACTGGGAGGACAGATCCTGAAGCTGAGCCTCCAATACTTTGGCCATCTGATGAGAAGAGAAGACTCCCTGGAAAAGACCTTGATGCTGGGAAAGCGTGAGGGCAAGAGGAGAAGGGGATGACAGAGGACGAAATGGTTGGACAGTGTCATCGAAGCTACCAACATGAGTTTGACCCAACTCCGGGAGGCAGTGGAAGACAGGAGGGCCTGGCATGCTCTGGTCCATGGGGTCACGAAGAGTCAGACATGACTTAACAACTAAACAACAACAAAATATTGAATTACTATATGTGATGAAACAATACTTGTAAATGCAAAGTTACTGTTTTGGAAATCTTGTAAATATCCATTGTGTGACTCCCCGACAAGGTCATTTTATGCACCAATAAGATTTTTTAAAGCTTATCAAGGTTTTCATATTTTAAAAGTAATAGTTGTGGTTATTCCTTTCTTTTAAAAAATGTTAAAATAGGCCTTTCTTAAATGTATAGCTGTATTCTAGTCAAGGGAGAAAAAACTGGAGCTTTGTGGTTTCTGAGTGGTTTGAAAGATTTGCTAAAAAAATCCATAAGCTTAAAAGTTATAAGGAGATTTTAGTCTTAAAAGAAAACATATCCTTTCTTTACCACACTATGAATGTTACAAAGCATTTGTGTGCTATAACTGGATTTAATGATTATTCTATGTGCCTCTTACTACATAAGGAATAGTTGGTATTTTTCATGATATAGTGCATACTTGTTTCTGGTATATGTTAAATAAGTGACTTGGGAGCAGACTACACACAGGTTGGCAGGTTTGGCTTCAGGTTACACATTCTTATAGCAAATAAACTTTTCATTTTTCTACATATGCAGTGTTGTGCATAGATAAGGTAGTGTACTTTGCAAGTTGCTGTTAACAACTGTAATAAACATTCAGTGGGTTGATTACATTCTTCAATCCTTCTGTAACAGTAAAGAAGATTCTTCTAAATCAATCTACACTTTGACATTGAGCACAGACAGTTAGTCAACATATTCTTTTCTCATCTTCATCCACAGTAATGGGTATAGGTTCTTCCCCCTCTCTTCTCTCTCTTTCTTTCTCTCTCATACATATGTGCATAAGTTGTTTTACCACCATTAACAATGATTAATTAAAAAAGGAATAAAGCTGTGAATAATTTCATTCATGAGTATGCAAGGTAGGAACAGCATTGTTGACACAAGTGTTAAACTGTGGGAATCAGTGCAGGATTTCATACTTGGTGATTGTGAAGAATTGAACATGTGTGATTACAAGGTTTAAAATTATTAAAGGGGATATAGGAAAAGTTGCAGTGAAGATGAAAGTACGTTTAAAAGTACATCTTAGAAGAATAATTTAAATTAATTCTAATTGTTTGCAAAACAGTTGGCTTTTTTCTAGGTAACGTGAGAACAAGATATCAATTTAATTCATGTCTGTTAGTTTAGTGTGGAAGTAAACTGAAATATGTGATGACATCATGAGCTGAATGATGTTGTGGAGCTATTGTTTATATGAAAATAGAGTTTTTTTGGGGTTTGTTTATTTACATGCTTGTTTTTTATACTGCCTGTTCAGTGAAAGATCACTGCCCTAGGCAGTTTACAATAGAATTAAAATCCCAACCATTATCCCAAGCAGCAAACAATGAAGCCATGTGGCAACAATTGAAGTAGAATCCTGCTAGTTCGGTACACAGCCTGTGTAGATTCAATAATATTTTTAATTCAAATAATGTATGGTTTCCTTCCTTTCGAATCAAGGGGGTAATGTCGGTGTATATAAATTTTTTTTTGGGGGGGGGAAAGGTAAAAAAGTTCCCTGACCCCTGAAGTAGATAATACAAATGAGGGTCAAAAACTACTGTAGGGGAAGAATATAGCACACCCCACTGATGATCAAAATATATAATTTAGCAATTGTCTAGAATCTTGGACTCTTGATGCAATAAGTCTCTGTTGGTATAGAGCAGTGGTTCCTAACCATGGGTCCCAGATGCTATTGGACTGCAGCTAGTGGTGAGGTCTTCTGGGAGTTGCAGTCCAATAATATCAGGGGACCCAAGGTTGGGAACCACTGGTCTAGAGGCTTATAGTTACAGAGTTCTATCAGTTCAAGTTCTGCAAAAATTGATAGTCAAAACAAAATGAAACCATAATAATAGAGGTTAGCCCCATATGAAATTGCAAACCCCTAGAGTCACAAAGACTGTGGCACAACAGAATTTTAAAAACAGAATTTTAATAAGTTGTTGGATTTCAAGGACTTTAAAACACGCAAACCCTGCAGATCAGGATGCTTACAGAATGGCAGGAAGTGAACGCATATTTAAACTGTTACACAGTATATATGTGGAGATAGGACACGCACCCAGGGCATTCAGCTCATCATAACAAGGCAGTTCCATGCTACATTACACATGCCAGATATCAACAACAATTATGTAGCAGAGCATTTAGGAACTCTTGATGATATCCAGTCCATTTGAATGGATATCCAGCTTCCATATGTATTGTATTTCAGATGTTTCTCTTTCATATCTGTTCTGTAATATTTTTTTCCTAAAAGAATCACTTTCAGGTCATTCAGAGAGTATCCAGATAGACTGAAATATTCTGAAAAAGGGTTTTGTGTGTTGCTGTTTCTGATGTCAGATTTATGTCCATTTGATGTCAGATCTATGTCCATTTTGCATGGAGATTGTCCCTTTTGCTCTAAATAGAATGCAAAAAGGCATTTTTGGCAAAGGATTTTATTGATGGCATTAGAAGAGGTACAAGTAAACACCCCAATGTTGTTTGTGACACTGTTGGAGTATTGTTTGTTGCCAGAGCAGATGCAAAGACAGAGTTAGCATAAATATTTGTAGCAGTGTTTAGTTTGCATCAGTGGTATGTAGTCTGTTTGGTATGAATAGTTGTTTAAGATTGGGGGATGAGCACCATCTTATGTGAAAACCTCAGCTGACTTGCTTTTCATCTTTATTTCTGGATAGATTGTTAAAGGTCCTGACATTTTGAAACAGTGCTATTAATTAAAATATTAACTTCTATTGTTGATTTTAGTCCAACAATTTATACTGCTTCAGTTTCCATAAGCAGAGGTCTTTCTTCCTGTTCTTTAGCTATTACTCTGTTCAGTGTTAAATTTCGTTGGCCACATGTGTCTCAGTGTGAAAGTCAAATATGGCTACTAAAAACTAAAGTAGTAATGTCTTCATATGCAATGGATTCCTTTATAGAAAGAAGTAAATAAGTTTTCTAAACTTTTAAAAAACCAAAACAGATCTGTAAGGTTCTGAGACTGGTAGAACATTGGTGCCGTGGAAAATACTTGAACATTGCATCTTATCTTGGAGCACAAGCATTCAAGATCAGATTGAGTGGCAAGTCCACAAACTCCTGTCTTCAGTGCTATTCTGTGTAAGTGCCTGTGTGATTATTATCATTATCATCATCTTAGAACTTCAGAGCTGAAAGTATCATACTGGTGTCTTACATGCTACTGCTCAGTTATAACATTTCTAAAACCCTTGACTTCTTGATTACTTTCTATTGGAAGCTTTTGTTTTTGTCCAAGAGAGAAAAAGTGGGGATTCTGGAAAGTTAAAAGTAGCCCACTTTTTATGTAACATGTATAATAATGGTTGGTAGCAGAGTACACCACTCACCATTATAATCCATTACAAACTTACCTGTCAGTTCATTTAATTTATGAACTGACTCATTGCAAGGAAGGCTCAGCAGCAGGTGGTGGCATGTCTTTGATGCTACTGCTGATAACTCAGAGAAGACCGGCCAGTTCCTCTAACTCAGTGGCTCCCAACCTTGGTTCCCCAGGAAGTTGCAATCCAAGAGCATATGAGGACTCAAGGTTGAGAACTACTGCTCTAAATCAGCTGATTCGTTAATCCTGTTTGAATCATCAACAGTGTAATCACTTGCCCTATTCAGGAGATCTTCATGTGAAAAATGTAAAGGTTGAAGCAAAGCCTATAAGTTCAATATGGTTGAAAGGTTGAAGCAAAGCATTTGGTTCAATATGCTTACAATGCTTGGAACCCTGATAAGGCTGAGCCCCCAGTCATGTGAGCCCCCAGTCATGTGAGCCAAACCACACTTACCAGTCTATGTTTCAGAACATGGTTTGTCACATAAAGATTTCCTTGACTTCTAGTTGAGGAGATGCCATGTGGGCAAGACTCAAATGTGTGCATCCAATTCCACCGCCCTTTTAGCCTTGTACACAGTTTCAAGTGTACAAGGCTAATGCTTTCAGGTATATGACTAGCCACCTTGTGACAATAACCTTTTCTTGACACTAGCTAAAATCTTCTTGCATAACATTATTCCACTGTAGGAAAAATCATGTCACTGCAATGGCAGGTCTCTATTAATTAGAATTCCTGCTATGGTTTAATCATTGTGTGCAACTCAGTTACATTAATTCTTCACACCATCTAAAGATAACCAGAGTATAAACTTATGCTCACCAGGTAAAAACATTAATCTGACTTTCACTTTGGCACAATTGACTATTTCTAGTTGAGGAATTAACCAAATTGTGGGCCCTTACTTGTGCTGAAAGCTGCTGTCTTTGTGTTATTTTTCCCCACCCCATAGCTAAAGGAAACTTTTTCCAAGCAAACAATGTGAGAACATGTGTGTGAAGCCAGGACCGATCACAGTTGAAGCCTTTTGATCTCCAAATTGAGGAATTAACCAAATTGTGGGCCCTTACTTGTGCTGAAAGCTGCTGTTTTGGGGACCGATCACAGTTGAAGCCTTTTGATCTCAAGAGCCAGGGTGGAAAAATTCCTGACCTTGCTAGAGAGACAGTAAGAGGCCCAGAACTGACCTTATCTGTCAGATATGTAGCATCAATTTCTGGACAGTTATTTTGCACCATCCATGGAGGGCATGTGCTTAGAACCTGAGGAAGTAGATTTCATCCACAAAAGCTTGCTGTTTGTTTTCATAGAATCATAGAATAGTGAAGTTGGAAGGGACCTATAAGACCATGGAGTTCAACCCCCTTCTCATTGCAGAAATATAAAGCAAAGGATATCTGCCAGGTTGTTGTCTAAATTTCTCTTGAATGCCTCCAGTACTGGAGCACTCACCATGAGGTAATTGGTTCTATTGCCATACTGCTCTAACACTTAAGAAGTTTTTCCTGATATTCAACCGAAATCTGACTTCCTGTATCTTGAGCCCATTGTTGTGTGTCCTGCACTCTAGGATGATCGAGAAGAGATCCTGCCCCTCCTCTATATGACAGAGTATCGGTCTGTTAAAAAGCCATCATTAAGTCATTAGTAACTCTTTGAAATTGTGACAAATTTGAATATTTTTCATGAAACATTTGTAAATGTGAGAGAATGCATTTATTCATTATAAATTATAAATTAGCAGCATCTTCTAAAGTATATTGTTAATATGATCCAAAACAAACATTCAGGGAGAATGTCTTTCATTTCATAAAATAACTGGCAATGTGAATAGATAACAAAACTTGTAGCAGTGGCTACAAAACAAGTGTGAAAACACTTGAGAAAAAAGAAAGCAAAGCTTTGTAATGAAGCCTCTACCCCATCTCAAATGGCAGCTTAATAGATATTCTGCTCCTGTAGCAATGTATTTGACCATTGAGGTCCTTCTTCAAAGACTATTTCATGGGTAATCTCATCCAAATTGAAGTGTATCCATACTGGAGAGAAAGCCTTCTCAGTTGTGACACCTTACTAGTTGGATTGTCTACTGAGGAAGTTTGCTTGGTTCCTCTGTTAATGCCTTTTCAGCAACAGGCAAATACCCTTTAACTTGATAGTATTTTCTTGTTATGTGCCTTCAAGTTATCTCCAATCCACAATATTTTACACTGCTGGTTTACATTCTTCCTCTTAAGAGATATTTATTCTGTATACTTTTGTACAATATAGAGGCTACATTAGGCCTCTATATTGAAGACTAGTATAGCAATTCCTTAAATAAACTAGCACTCTTGTTTGTTTTAAAATTGAACATTTGCTACAGTATGTATGGGCATGGCAACAGCTCCTAAAAATCTGGAGCTGCTGTTAAATAATGTATGAATACATAATATTTTTTTTCAAAATTTATGGGCATTTTTAGAACCATCAAACCCTTTCTTTAAAATGTTAATCTACATTTTCCTGTCAATCACAATGCCTACAACAAAGGTATTCTGAACAGCTGTTTTTGATTCATACACTTTTTCAGGTTCATGACATCAAAATTATATCTTTTGCTTTTTGTGTAGTTCACGGAACACTTCACATATTCCAGCTCTGAAGTTTCACATATCTGCCTTAATTAAAAAATGGGCAGCTCAGTAATTTCAATAGGCTAGTAATAATGTAACAGTGGGAGGCTATTAAACCTTTTATCATTCAAATGCTTATGGTTCCTAAAATTAACTGAATGAATAAGTATTGCTTATAAGAGTAAAGGAGATTATTAGTAGTTGAAGAAACACGTGAACTCACTGAACAGTGTGCTTTTGTTTCTAGACAGTCCTTATTCTCAGAAAATAATTACACTGAGTCTTCATTTCATCCTTGCAGTCTCCTTCTATTCATGTTTTCTGAATAGCGTGTTCTTGCTTGTTAATCCCATCAGGAATGTGGCTTTGGATATGGTGAAGATGCCCAGTGCATGACATGCCGACCAAACAGATTCAAGGAGGATTGGGGTTTTCAGAAGTGCAAACCATGTTTGGACTGTGCTATAGTAAATCGGTTTCAGAAGACCAATTGTTCTGCTACCAGCAATGCTGTATGTGGAGACTGCTTACCAGGGTGAGTTGTAAAAAGAGTCCCAAGAAATCTGCACATAAGGTATCTGCAGTGCCAGTAGAAGAGGGCTTAGATTCAGAAAATCCTATGGTCTTAGTCTTGGCTTGCTCTGTCACTCTGACCAGATTGCTTTCAGCTGAAGAAAAGCGATATGGATCTCAAACACTAATTTGTGTTAGCAGTAGATATTTCAGTGCCTTGAAATTAATTATTTAATCAAGCAATGTTTCAAAGGTAATGAACTCAGAAATAACATGTACGTCTCTTCCCTGGTCCAATTTAAAATCATTGGGAACTTAAACAGATTATTCAAACATATTCTAAATCTTGATCACACTAACTTTATCAATGTCTTCCCTATTTAAAATGCTTACTTAGTGTTACTGACCTGATTCCTTTCACATCAGTGCACATACATTTGTGTTAAATAGGTGGCACTATCTTTGAAGACACTATATACAGTGGTGCCTCGCTTAGCAATGTTAATCGGTGCAGCAAAAATCGCTGCTAAGCGATTTCATCACTAAGCGATTTTTAAAAGCCCATAGAAACGCATTAAAACGTGTTTAATGCGTTCCTATGGGCTTAAAAACTAACCTTATGCGAAAATCCTCCATTGTGGTGGCCATTTTCGGTGCCTCTAAAGCGAGGCAAAACAGCGGGCGGCCATTTTGTTTACCTGGCGGCCATTTTTGAACCGCCGATCAGCTGGCCGAAAATGGGGGCTTTGCGATGATCGCTTCCCTGCGATCATCGCAAAGCAAAATTTCCCCGTAGGGGCCATCACAAAGCGATCACTCTTGTGATGGCAAAAAGTCCATTGCAAAGCAATTTCATCGCTATATGGAGCGATCGCTATGCGAGGCACCACTGTACTTATAAGACAGTGGCCAAAATCCTGTTGCACAGTTATACAAAAGGTGTAACTTTTATCAGTGAATTAGCATACATTAAGAAATCTCCTCAAATATTATCTGTTGCACACCATATATGCAACAAATAGTGCTTGTAGATAATTCTTAATTTATGGCAATTTGCTGCTAAAAGTTACACCTTTTGTGTAACTTCACAACAGGATTTGGGGCAGTATTTTAAAATATTCCCAGATGAATTTGAATGTAATTTACTGAGTTTTTTTAGAAAGACTTCTGTTTGGCAGATAGAACTCCCAGAATGCAGAATTATGGGATTTGTAGTAAAAAAAAAAATTCCATCCCTACGATTGTCTGCTTATTACTATTTAGCATACCTAGGAAATTAGTTCTCTATGATCCTGGTCTAGTTCTTCCAATACTTTCCATACCTCTGTTGTACTGAGTCACAATCATGTGGTATATAATGTCCCCAAAACATTTAACGTTACCGATTTATTTCCTCCTGTTTGAATTGTTATGGCCAGCTACTCCACGGTACCGGTTTATTTTCTCTTTTGTTTCAAGGGGCAATAGTTCATTTTCTCTTTTGCTTCAAGGGGCAATTTAGCTCCTTTATTGATTGATTGATTGATTGATTGATTGATTGATTGATTGATTGATTGATTTAAAATACTTATTGATACATTGATATATCAGCAAGGGCTTTCTGTTTGGGAAAGTGTCCTCTGTTGCACTGGCTGCTCCTGCAGAAATACATTGTACACAATGGACATGGGACCATCGTCTATGGCTGTGGTGGCTATGAACAAAGAAAGCACACACTCAGCAGAAGGGACGGTAGCTACTGCCTAGACATACGTACAAACAGGCAGCTATGCACAGGTAATGTGGGGGGGGGAATCCATGCACAATACTGGCAATCACCCCCACCTGATGACAGTAGCATACCTGTCATTAGGTTTGATGTATCTTCCACAGAAATAAAGAAAAATTATTACCCGCCAGTAATATAATGATGGTGCCCTCCCATGAAATTCTTTTGCCAATGTACCATATTGACATGCTAGCTGTGAAAAATTTAAAAAATCAATACACACACTGCAATAATAGTGGCCACCTTCCTGGCTTCAATTATGAAAAGAAGCAGGGCAGGTTGAGCACACAGGCAGTCCCAGTAAGGAATGCACCAGTCCAACAGAAGTACAAAATAACACAACTCTCACAGTGAAGGAGAAATGTTTCACAGTTACACTGCTGGCTAGGAAAATAATTTAATGTTGACTGTGCATCGTGTGACCAGGAAAAAAAGCAGTGAACTAATCAGGGCCTATGTTCAGCTGTGTCAGTAACCATATATGAGAAATATGTAATCTGTATGTGAGGGTTCAGTGGTTAGCTCTGGTTCTTTTTCAAATAACGCAACAGATCTCTTCAGTTTAGAAATAGAGGTAACATTTATTGGGTTATTCAACAAGAGTCCTGTATCTACAAACGTGTTCCAAACCTTCTCCCCTTTTGACAACAGGTCTGACGGAGGGTTCCATTCTTCCAACTTGAAAGGGTTTCCACTCTGGTCATTCCAGGGCCCCAGCCACTCCGGTGGGGTATTGGAGTTTAATAGTAGTCCCTCTTCTCCTTCCAGCAAGGGGATGGTGTCCTCCTCTCAAATGTCCACCTGGTCACACTCCCGGGTGGATTCCCTCATCTGCCACGGGGTTCCAGGAATCCCCTCTGTTGTGTCTCTCACATCCTCCATTCCAATCTCTCCCGTCGTTCTCTTTCAACCCTCTCTCTTTCCTCTCTCAATTTCCTCCACCACTCCTTTGTCTCTTTCTCACCTCAAAATGATGGTTTGGGGTTATGTTCTCTCCTCCGGGCATCCGCCTCTTCCTTCGGGACCCTCAGTTTTTCTGTCCTCCCTGTCCAGGGATTTTCAACCCAAATCCACTCCCAGCCTGCTGATAACTCTCCTTCCCCTCTTTTTATATCACCTAATTCCACCTCTACCACCACCTGCCCTTTTTCTCCCACGCCTGCCAAGATAGTCCCAGTCTCTTTGACCATTAGTCCTTTTAAATCTTTCTCTGTGCGCCCCAGGTCAGGTCCAGGAGGCCTTGTCTTCCTAGGTAGGGGAACAGGTGGGGTTTGACTTTCTTTCTCAGCGGTTGACGGGAGGGTGTCTCTCTCACTCTTCGACTTACACTGTTTCTCTGTGTTGCAGATTCTATAGAAAGACAAAGCTTGGAGGTTTTCAGGATATGGAGTGTGTTCCTTGTGGTGATCCACCTCCCCCTTATGAACCTCACTGTAAGTACTCTTGATAATAAAATAATGATGTAGCGTTCATCCTTTGTTAGGTATAAGTCATGTATTATTCATGTTCTATGCAAATGTGGTTGAGAGGCGGAGCCTGAGAGGAGGAGTCAGTCAGTCAGGAGAGAGTCAGTGAGTTAGTCAGAGTCAGAGACAGAAGAGATAGAGATTGAATTAGAGACTGGTTAAGATAAATAACGTTAGATGGTGGACGTTATATGGCAAGAGAATATTGTGTACATCTGAAGAACAACTGGAACCTTTGTGAGGGCACAAAACGTAGGAGGTGAACGTCACACATGACATTTGGGAATTTTTAAAGTACAAATAAACTTATTGAAACAGATCATGTGTCCCAGATAACAGTGGTCTGGGAAACTCCCTTTCCTTTGGGGGGGGGGGAATGATTCTTACCACCGAGAGTGAGGTTCGCAGTTTGGGTGTACATCTGGATCTGGCACTCACCATCGAGACCCAGGTATCATCAGTGCTCCATTCCGTACATTTCCACCTTCAGTGGATTGCCCAGCTGCGTCCCTATCTTGATGTGGGGGTGCTCACTACGTTGGTCCATGCGCTTGTATTCTCAAGATTAGACTACTGTAATGCACTCTATGTGGGGCTGCCTTTGAGACTGATGCGGAAACTTCAGATGGTACAAAATGTGGCAGCCAGACTTCTTACTGGGGTGAAAAGGCACCAGCATATTTCCCCCATGCTGGCCACCTTGCATTGGCTGCCCATCCATTTCTACGTTGATTTCAAAGTTCTTATAATTACATATAAAGCCCTAAACGGTTTAGGACCTCAATATCTGGAAGAGCGCTTTCTCCCACCCAGTTCTGCCAGAGTCACTTGTACCAGGCAGGCCGGGTGGCTGAGGGGGCTAACACCGAAGGAGGTACAGAAGGAAAGAACAAGGAGTAGGGCCTTCTCGCCAGTGGCCCCTCAAGTTATTCTTTGGAATACTGCCCAGAGTAGAGCCTTGGTCTAGATGGGTGGAATAGAAATCTAATCAATAAATCACTGAAATTGGCTTGTTCCCATAATTAACTTTCTGAAAAAAGTAAATGTCACATCACTGAAGTCAGCTACAATTTAAAAAGCAAAAATAATGGGGAAATAAAGGTGATCCAGTTTAAACGCATATAGCTCACATACATTTCAGAGGGAAAGCAATGCATGTGTTTGTATCTTTCCCACTGTAATCACAATTGCAATGATTCCAATTACTTTGAAAATTGTGCCCATATTTATTATTGATGATTATTATGTTTTGTGTATGTCACATTCCTAGATCTTATGAGGCATTGCATTACCAGTGACTAGGTATACTGCAAGCCTATTCAGGTAGTCTCATTGCCACCCTTCTGTAAGGATATAAAATTTCCTTGTCTTTGATATAAAAGAGTGTCTAGACGCATTGAGGCACTCTATTCAGAAAACTGATGATCTCTGCAACATTTTTCACTTTTGGATGAAAGCAAAAAACCAGGGTTTTTTTTGTCAGCAACACCATTAGCCAGAACAAAAAGTATTTTATATTTTTAAAATATGTCTTTGCACACACCATGCACACGCACACATACACAAACACACACACACACTGCCATGATTTTTATTTTGAAAAAAGGTTCTGAAATGTAAAGAATAGACAAAACTATTCATGATCTTTACTGGTAAGGAGAAAATTTCTGATATTTTTACTTCACTTGCAAGAATTACATTGACCTAATATTTGCATCCCTATCACCTGCTGTTTGCCCTATTCCCCGAAGAATACACTTCAACTTAATAATCCTTGACTTGATAAGTGGGGTTGAGGATAAAGTACCATGGGTAAAGTATGCAAACAAGGCATGCAAGGCATTGCACCATAGGATTTAGTGAATGTTCTAAGTGGGGCTTATTTATTCATGGGCAAAAAGATAGGGTTTACAGATGGAAATAAGGGTCAGTGTACAGCATATATACTCAGAATGGAAAATAGGGATCAATGTGAAGAACAAAAACTCAAGATCAAAATTTTAAAACACGATGCATTCACTAGTTAAACTAACTTTAGCTCTGGAATCATTTAAAGCTTAATACAACTATTTGCACATGGGACAACAGGCTTAAATCAATTATCTCATATTCTGTCTCCCATGTTAACTATCTATTCCTTAATTTTAAAAAAACTTAACTGGTGATGGAGTTGTGCCTATATCACTGCCTATATCTTGTTCTATCATGGATCAGTTTTAGATTCTCAGGTCTAGCTGTCAGACCTGTCAGGTTACTCTGTTGTTTCTCCAGTGTGCTTTACAGTGGTGCCTCGACTTACAGACTTAATCCGTCCCAGAAGATGGGCGTAAGTCAAAATGGTCATGTCGAAGTACCATTTCCCATTGAAATGAAAAAAAAATTACAAAAAAAAATCACTGGAAGACCCATCGGAAACACGATTAATCCCTTCCGGCCGAAGGGGGGAACAAAGAAAAGTAAGCAGAGCATGCAAGACAGATGGAAATGGGGAGAAAGCAATGCAAAAAGCAAATGAAGCATGCAAGATAGATCGGAAATGAGCAATGCAAAAAGCAAGCGAAGCATGCAAGGCAGATGGAAATGGGGAAAAAGCAATGCAAAAAGCAAGTGAAGCATGCAAGACAGATTGGAAATGAGCAATGCAAGAAGCAAGCGAAGCATGCAAGACAGATCAGAAATGGGGAAAAAGCAAAGCACCAACAAAGAAACAAACCCCCAAGACCCATTGGAAATGGGGGGAAATCCCCCCAAAAAACCAAACAAACCACCCAAGACCCATCACAGCACAGAAATATAACCCCCCATCCCAAAATCATGGTGCAAAACCACCCAGAACAGTTTTTAACCAGGCAGCCTTCTCCAATTGCACACACACTAACCGCTGGGGGGAAAGAGCTACAAATAAGCAGTCTTGTTGCCACTTACAGTTAGAAATTTGAATTTCCCGCCTTTTCCCTCTGCCTTTTTCTATTCATACGTGGAAGCTCCGGCCGCAAGCAGAAGCAAAATTTTGTGGCTGGAGCTGGTTGTAACTTGAAATGGTTGTAAGTAGGGACGTTCGTAAGTTGAGGTACTGCTGTATTTCTGAACTCATTTTAATAGAGTCACATAGCTAGAACGGCAACAGTGGTTATAGTCACTCATGCCCAAGAAAGTGTTGTCATCAGGTTTGGGGGAACTCCAAGTAACCGCCAAAATGGTCATAGTGTACTTTTAATTTTGTTTTTAAAATTTATTCATTAAAAACAGAAAGACAGACATCTTTGTATAACAAGAGGAGGTATACAAAATGTAATCATGGGCTAGTTATCCACATTTATATAAGCTAACAAAAATGACTTCATTTAGAGTTGGCTTTGTAGAATAGATGTTCATGCAAAACTAAAGTAGTGCAATCTTTTAACTCTTTCATGATGGATGTTGTATGTTCTATCATTCCCCCGTTGTAGTACAAAAGCTTTGGAGGCAGTAAGCTCTCATAAAATCTAACTGTGCTGATCACCAATTAAGTTCCAAGCTTCAAGAACATAAGTTAAAAACACAAACAATCTTTTTGGATAATTTGTTACTATTAGATAACAAATTTATGTTCTAGTTCAGCGATGGCGAACCTATGGCAAGTATGCCACAGCTGGGACTCAGAACCCTCTCTGTGGGCACATGAGCCGTAAGTTGCCATAGAGAAATACTTACCTGTCCTCCAATCCCGGATTTTGGCACTCTTCTCTGCTGGTGTAGTGCTCCAGCAGAAGGATGCAATGGCGACCATTACCGGTCTAGCCCAATGGGGGATTGGAGGACCGGTAAGTATTTCTTTGTTAATACCGCCCATGGGGGGGGGGAGCATTTAACCCTTGCAGTGCTGCAGCAGTTGTTTTTTTTTCTAAACTGAAACCTCAGCATTCGGGTTTTAATTGCAGTATTGGCACTTTGAAATAAATAAGTTGATTTTGTGTTGCAGTTTGGGCACTCGGGCTCAAAAAGATTCACCATCACTGTTCTAGTTTATTTTTCTTTGTTTCATTTTTAAAGAAACATCTATGTTGGTGTTACAAAATAATAAAATATTATATAGATAACATTCTGAACAGTTAGAATGGTTACTTATGCATATAATGGTTCGGAGTCTTTCATCTAAGAACTAAAGGTTTGAATGCAGCTAATTCTGGATGATGTATATGAAAAGAGCAACTATTAAATGTTATGTTTCTGCATAAATTAATTATAATGTCCATGCTGTAGCAGATTTTCATTTGTTCTTGAACCTGAGTGGGGGACACAGACTTCCTGAGCTAAAAGTTTCCTAATAGGACTGAGACATTAATGAGAACTGCAGAATGCTGGTAGCAGTTGATTATTACCCAGTTAGCTATAAATTTCAGAGCTAGCTTTCATCTTCTCTCTGTCTGCAGACCTTTTAAAACAGAGTTGTGGTTTAAATATTTACTCATGAAAAAGCTGGTTGTGGTTGTTAAAAGACCATCAGAAAGTTGAAAGGATTCTGTAATAGACAAGTAAGGAGTGTAAAAGGCCAGGAGAACTGTAAATATTCCTAGGTAAACTTTGTAAGGTAAACATTGAATTCTCTGTCACTTGATAATAGCAAATAAGGTTTTTGCATAAATTTATTTTAAATACCAAGTTCAAACATCTGCATCTTGTTATGGTAGAATTTTGAGCCTTGCAGTGGCAGTGCAGGTTGCATTTTTAAAAACTTCTTTTAAAGAATGCTAAATTAAGGGATGATTTAGTCAGCCTTTTTTCTTGTTGTGAGCAGAATGACATCTTAAAAATAAATTAAGCAGAACCAGTAAATGGATGTATCTTCCAGGCAGCATGTAACAATTACAAAAAGAACAAACAATAGTGAGAGTTAAATAGAAATAATTACACCAAATCACAGTCAAAGGAAAGTCCTAGCAGCTTTTCAACTTCAGTTAGAACCTGCTGGTATGGCTTAGATGTAG